ATCCCACCACTGGTGACATGTTGATTTAATTTTTGACTAATGGTTAACGGGCCTGCCGGAACTATCCGTGATAGTCCATTTAATCTTATCTGAGTCCAAACTAGTACTTAGGTTTGTAAACCTTTCCATATACACAGAAGTCCATTAATGCTCCATCAATATGTCAGTTTTGCTCAAAAGTCTTATTCTGAAGCATTTTCATCAATCATAATTATTATTTTAAAGGGGAAAACTGCAAAAAAGAACATTGATAAAACTTCAAGAAAATTCAATTTCTTTTCTTTCTTGCACAAAGAATTTGCCTTCTAATCTAAAACAACCATAATTATGTCCTTTGAAAATAGAGCTGATATTTAAGGAACCACTTTTGAAGTGATATTTTAACAACTTAATTTTTAACTTATAATCTAAATCTATTTGTCATCGAAGTTAATGGTGAGGGTTCGTCTCTGTCGATTCAAATGATTTTCGAAAACCTTTCTGTAGTTGGTTACCCTATCAGAGAGAGACATCATTCGAAGAACGTTTGTGCACACTTCAAGAGCTTTCTATCTTTCCTAGTTGAAGTTTTCAATTCTAGCACGAGCCTTGCATCCTTTCCAGTTAACGCTGTAAATTCTACAACAAGTTCTGCATCTTTCCTAGTGAAAGTTTTGAATTATAACACCGCCTTTCATCCTCCCTCGTTAAAGTTGTACATTTAACACAAGCCTTGCATCTTTCCAAGTTAAAATTGTAAAATCTAACACAGTCTTACATTCTTCCTAGTTAAAGTTGTACATTTTAGCACAAGCCTTACATCTTTCTTAGTTAAAATTGTAAATTCTAACACAGCCTTCCATCTTTCTTGGTTAAAGTTATAAATTCTAGCACAAGCCCTGCATCTTTCCAAGTTAAAATTGTAAATTCTAACACAGCCTTGCATCTTTTCTGGTTAAAGTTGTAATTTCTATCCCAAGCCTTGCATCTTTCCAAGTTAAAATTGTAAAATTTAACACAGTCTCGCATACTTCCTAGTTAAAGTTGTAATTTCTAGTACAAGCTTTGCATCTTTCCAAGTTAAAATTGTAAAATTTAACACAGTCTCGCATTCTTCCTAGTTAAAGTTGTAATTTCTAGTACAAGCTTTGCATCTTTCCAAGTTAAAATTGTAAAATTTAACACAGTCTTGCATTCTTCCTAGATAAAGTTGTAATTTCTAGCACAAGCCTTGCATCTTTCCTATTTAGTTGTAAATTCTAGCACAAGTCTTGCATTTTTCCTAGTTAAAATTGTAAAATCTAACACAGTCTTGCATCTTTCCAAGTTAAAATTGTAAAATCTAACACAAGCCTTGCATCTTTCCCAGTTCAAGTTCTCAATTCTAACGATAGCCTTAAATCCTTTCTGGTTAAAATTGTAAATTCTAGCCCAAGCCTTGCACCTTTCCTGGTTGAGGTTTAAATTTTAGCACAAGCCTTGCATCTTTCCAAGTTAAAATTGTAAAATTTAACACAGTCTCGCATTCTTCCTAGTTAAAGTTGTAATTTCTAGTACAAGCTTTGCATCTTTCCAAGTTAAAATTGTAAAATTTAACACAGTCTTGCATTCCTCCTAGTTAAAGTTGTAATTTCTAGCACAAGCCTTGCATCTTTCCTATTTAGTTGTAAATTATAGCACAAGCCTTGCATTTTTCCTAGTTAAAATTGTAAATTCTAACACAAACCTTGCATCGTTCCTGGTCAAAGTTGTAAACTCTAGCTGACTTTTTTAGTAGCTAAAAAGAAGTCACATAATTCTTCTACGCGCTTCTTTGACCAAGTTTCGTAATGTTACCTAAACTTCAGTAGCCGTGAAACTTGGAAGCACGTGTTAGGCTACCTAAAGATGGAGAGCAGAACTAATAGCACTCATCAACGTCGTTCTTCATACACTTTATACTTCGCCATATACACAGTATAACTTAAATATGGCGATATAGCACCAATTAGTATCGGATATTCTAACTATAAGAATCATTAAAAGTGAGGAATTATGCAAAATTTTGCATCTAACTTCTACTAGAGGTTCAACCAACACTGAATTAAAATACATGTTTTGCCATCTACCGGAAAATCAAAGTTATATGCTGTGATAATTTGGCCGATTCTTAGTAGTTATAGCCTAACTTTCGTACGTTACAAGGACGATAAAATGAAAAAATACGCATATTAAAATAATGGTTTTCGACGTGAAAATAATTAAATTAATTCTCAGAAAGTTTGTATAGAATGGCGTCAACTATCGCACTGACCACTTTAAAAGTTAGTTTATACGCTATACGAAGTAATTGAGATATTTAAAACTCTCAAAGTTAACGAATGATAACATGTAATACTGGGCCTTTTTACTAAGTTAAAACGTTTCATTGTTTTGAGATTTTAACGCCTGTACTTACCATGTACTGCGATGATTCTTGATGGAACAATTTTTAAAAGATTAGTAACTTAATGCCAGTATAAACAACAAACGTCATCTGTTGTTAAAAACGTTAATCAAACATTTATACAAATAATTCTAATTACTCATAATTTCGATAAAATAATAATATTTTAACTTATTTATTAGAGACAATACACCTCTCTCTAAAGAAAGTCAATGCCACATTCTTCTACTGAAAGAAATCTGCCACCAGAGTCTATCGAGACTGTTGATATTAAATATCATTATTTTGCCTTCTGTTCAGAGTCATCTGCCATCAGAGTATATTAAAAGCAATAATCGACAAAGAAACTGTGGCTTTCAACTGCTGTTAATTCCCAAAAGAAAAATGATTGATTGAAATGATTTGTTAAAAACAACAAGCAACATAGTGTGTGTCCAAGTTGACTCATTTCTTCCAAAATGATAAAATTCAATTTTTTTCAACTGTACTAAGTGTAAAAAAAAGGCCAACAAATATCACGTAACTAATAAATAAACTGGCCAATGACACTTTTTCTTCACTTCACCTATCCAGTGTATAGGTTTTCCTCATAGTGACTACAAAGCACGTTCACACCAACAGTATATTCGATATTTTTAACTATGGTATAGGCCCAGCTTATCTCTCTTTGGTTAACTTGTGTTCAGGGTTACTGATGAGGAGTGGAATTATCCGAAACCAGTACAACCCAGTAACACACGTTCATTAAAGTGTAGATTGAATTTGACCTCCCTTGAACTTAGATTCCGGACTTAACAATTTTCGGAATACTAATTTTATTTATTATATCTGCTGATGTGCAGCTATATAATGTGAAGAATTGGATAATAGCCAATGACACTTTTTTCTTCACTTCACCTATCCAGTGTATAGGTTTTTCTCATAGAGAATAGAAAGCAAGTTCATACCAACAGTATGTTTGATCACGTAATTGTTGATAGTCATTTTTCACTTATTGTTTTCCACAAGAGCAAAGTGTTGGTGAGGCTATAATAATTATCTGGTTCCATCAAGAGGAAGAGTCACACACACGGTGTACCTTTAGACTAGTTATCTGGTTCTATCAAGAGGAAGAGTCACACACACAGTGTACCTTTAGAATAATTATCTAGTTCCATCAAGAGGGAGAGTCACACACACGGTGTACCTTTAGAATAGTTATCTGGTTCCATCAAGAGGAAGAGTCACACACATGATGTACCTTTAGAATAGTTATCTGGTTCCATCAAGAGGGAGAGTCACACACATGGTGTACCTTTAGAATAGTTATCTGGTTCCATCAAGAGGGAGAGCCACACACACAGTGTACCTTAACACTGCTACTGATTAAGCTTACCCATAAAGTTGGATTTAAACACCGAGGAAAAGGGTGTCTTACAATGCAATAGTGATATGTGAAGGGTAATTTGGTTCCTTTAGAAAGGAGGATCACATCCAAAACGTACCTGAACGTGTTACTGACCCATAATGATGGATTTCAGGAACAAATGATTCACAGTGCTTGCACAAAAAATTGTTTGGAAGACCTTTGCAGTGACTTAAACCATCGCAATTATTTGATTTCAATCCCATTTAGAATTCTGGAATGAACCGAAACTTTGCAGCTGTCGCCATATTCCTCTCCTATCAGCAGTGAAACAATTTTTATCCACACTTTTGGACAAGTAGCCTACTTCCTAACAAAACACCCCAAATATCTTGAAGAGCTTCTTTGTTGGTTTGTTGAATTTCGCGCAAAGCTACTGGAGAACCACCTGCATTAGCCGTTTCTATTTTAGAAGTGCTAGACTAAAGAGAAGGTAGCTAGTCAATACCACTCACCGCCGACTTTTGAGCTACTCTTTACCAACGAATAGCTGGATTGACTGTCACGTTATAAAGCTCCAACGGCTGAAAGAGAGAGCATGTTCCGTGATGGGATTCGAACCCGTGGCCCACAGAATTAGAGTCAAGCACCCTAACCGCCAGGTCATGCCAAGCTCCATCTGGAAGAGTATAAGTCACGCTGAATCCAGTTCGTTATTTCGAGAAAAGGTGGTGATTCAGTGTATACTTTTACTCTGATGAGCTCTGTAAACCACAAGGACATAAAACGCTTGATCAACACAGTTCAGTGCCAAATTAATGTTATTTGAGAAAACAAGTAAATGTTTTAACCGCCAACAGTTATGTGTCCACTTCTTCAATAGATTTGTATTCAAACAACTTTATGTTTTGTCTTCTTTTTGTTTTCTGTGTTTAAACATAAGAGAAATTCTAGGAACGATGATAGATTAAGATTTTCAGTTAGATTTTTCCAATAGCTTGTGTAAGAAATCTACCGTAATAAAACTCGCGGAAATATCCATATGATGTGTAATCAATTCCTTAGAAAAAATGAATAGTTGCTTCGATAATTTTTTTATAAAACGTCAGAAAACAACAGAATAACCTGGTATTGAATTATAACTAGAGTCGCTTATGTTGTAGAATGTTATATATATTTCATTTCTGGAATAAGAAAATACCTGAAACAATAAAATGGGTGTTTTGAAACGAGTAATCATAGAATTTAAACAGTTTATACCAGGGAATTAAGACTTCGTTTTGAGGCTTATAAACGTTTTAAATGTCGAATATATGACGTATCTCCCCCATACAAATGACCATCAATTCGTTTCTTATAGCAGAGTTTGAGCATTATAAATACAATTATAATAGAATGTTTTCGTTTACAGATTTGCTTTTTAATTAGTGATACCCTAAGAAGGACATTGCCCGAAACGTTGAACCCACAACGGTATATATATATATATATATCTGCAGTTAACTCATTGTTGTCTTCGGTGGTTTGACCTGTGACCTACAACATATTTTTTTGTAATTATAATAGTCGGGTTTGAAGGTTGGAATGTTGAAATCGAGACCCGATATTAAAAACTTGTTGACAAACATCATCATGTTGAAGATCACATCATCAGGATTACAGCCTGGAAAGGAAGGTGGATAAAGGAACCAGTTTTGAAGTTTTCCGTTTTGGACTTGCTGTTTGTCTGGTTATTATTTTTTGGTTATTCCTATACATTAAGCACATCAGATGGACAAAATCAATATACTAACCTGAAATTCTAATATCCTGGAATTGGCGTCCCAGATTAGATATATGTTGACGATAATCCATGTGTTTCAGATTTAACTCTTCCCCTACAAGTCGGCGTATTCCTCTCTAGGCTGTAATCCCAATGATGTAAACTTTAACCTGAGTGATCTTCAACATGATGATGCCTGTTTGTTTTTGAATTTCGCGCAAAGCTACACGAGGGCTATCTGCGCTAGTCGTGCCTAATTTAGCAGTGTAAGACTGGAGGCAAAGTAGCTATTCATCATCAACCACCGCCAACTCTTTGGCTGCTCTTTTACCAACGAATAGTGGGATTGACCGTCACATTATAACGCCCCCTCGGCTGAAAGGGCGAGCATGTTTGGTGGGAGGGGTGATGATGTCTGTTAACAAGTACTAATCAAAGGATCTGAACAAAGTACGTTTCTTTCAGAGCTTCCAAGCATGGCGTTCTAGGACTGATGTCGTCCCTGAGGGAAGAGCTACATGCATTGGACAAAAAACACTGCATACGTCTTACGACCATCTGTCCGGTGACCTTTGACAGCGGTTTCGTTAAACGACCTTATAGCAGGTAATTTGTTATTTCTTCACTCAGAACACGAGTAGTCTAAACACTGACATACCTGTAAATCCCCTTACAGTAGATAACACTGTTTATCGTGTAAATCCCCTTACAGTAGATAACACTGTTTATCGTGTAAATCTCCTTACAGTAGATAACACTGTTTATCGTGTAAATCCCCTTACACTAGCTAACACTGTTTATCGTATAAATCCCCTTACACTAGCTAACACTGTTTATCGTATAAATCCCCTTACAGTAGATAACACTGTTTATCGTATAAATCCCCTTACACTAGCTAACACTGTTTATCGTATAAATCCCCTTACAGTAGATAACACTGTTTATCGTATAAATCCCCTTACACTAGCTAACACTGTTTATCGTATAAATCCCCTTACACTGTTTGTCGTGTTTAAATATTCTAAATAAATCGATAGCCCATTGTGCAGCTTTGTGTTTAACAATAACAAACAAAAGCATTTGAATGTTATGTAGCTGTTGACTAAACCAATCATCACGTTTTAATTAATTGCATTATTTGTTGGATGTACTGCCTATACTTTAATTTGAGGTAAGTTACTGTTATATGATTTTAAAATATACATTTATTTACCCGTTAAATTTATACGGAATTATAATTATAGTATTTTGGCACTTGTGTATAAAGTTCGAATCATAAATAATATTCAACGTTAAACTGGTACACAATTAAAAACATTTTATTTAGGCCTATCTATGGCCTTCGAAAAGTTGACG